CCCCTAAGGTCCCTTAGGGTCCGGTTCTAAAGGTAATAGGTAGTCTTAACGACTTCCCTTTAAAAGTTATAAGGAAGCTTTATAGTAAGTCTTATCGTATAGGCCCTTTTTATTATAGTACCCCTTAATCTTTTTACCCCTCCGTTCTAGGCCTAGGTATTTAGTACTAATAAGAGGGGTAAAATACCCTTTTCTTAAAGCTAATTTAAGATATCCTTTATAAATAGCCCTTTATTAAACCGTATTTACTTTACCTTATAGCTAAAGTAGGATTTTATTTAGTTAATAAAGTCTTAAAAAGTAAACTAGTTATACTTACTTAAGTAGGTCTATAAGAAATAAGGAAAAACTATCCCTAAAAAAGCGTTTATAAAAAACATTACCTTAATAAAGCTTTCTTAGTCTTTAGAAATATTAGTTTAGTCGACCTAAATTTCCTTATATAGCTAGTCTAGCTATATAAGGGTTTATTTAGAAATTCCTTTCTTAGTCTTCCCTTAGCTATAGTATTTATATTTAATAGTCTTTAAGCCCTTTATTTATACGCCTTATTATTAGCCTAGCTTATATAAAGCTAAGGGGCCTAGGTAACTAAGTTATATATACTAAAAAAGACCGTCTCCTTAGGCTACTAAAAGAAGGTCCTTAGAACCTACCCTCTTAATAGGGAAAGCTAACTTTTTAAGAGGTTCCTTTCTAAGGATAGGTCGGAATTTAAGAATAAATTAACCGAATTTTTCCTTAATAAGCTTAATTATTTAATTCTTTTAGACTAGCCTTATAAGCTTAAACGTTATATCCTAAAAGATTCCTTCCTTTTAAAGAAAGCGAAAGGAAATTAAGCTCGTTAAAAATAAAAAGTAAAAAGCTACTATTTTTCGTCGAAGAATTTATATAGATCTATTAAGTAATTTTATCGTAAAATTTACCCTTTTATATCCTTTTATCTATATAGTTAATTCCCTAGTAGTAAGGTATTCCTTTTATACTTTCTTAAAGGACTAAAATTATAAGAGTATATTATAGATATTAAGGGAAGTACTAAAGTTAAGGATAGCTAGCTTTTATAAGGGATAGTTAGAGGGTCTTAATAAGTAGTCTTATTAATTTATAAGGAAGATAAATACCGGATTTACTATACTAACGATTTTTCCTTAAATTTATAGCTTAAATAAAGGTAGCGGCGTTATTAGTTACTATTTCTTAGTAACCTAAATCTCGTTTATCTTCTTTTATAATAAGGGGTCCTCTTTAAGAGACTTTTTAATAATATCTTTTAGTCCTTTAAGAGGTATAATTCTAAAAGGTCGAATTTCCTTAAAAATCTACTAGTAGTCTTTTAGCCGATAGGGCCTTTTATATACTTAGTAGGTAGGTCGATTCCTCCTTATTCTTTTTTTATCCTAGTTTAAAAGGTCTACTTAAAAACCCCCCCTTTTTACCTTTTATTACTAATTTTAATAAAGAGGTTCGATTTCGACTAGTTCCTTAATTTTTTAACTAATAGACTAAAAGGTTTATTAAAGGACTAGTTAGGCCGGTCTAACTAATAGGACCGGGGCCGGGCCTAGAGTAAGAGGCGGAGCTAAGGCTATAGCTATAGTTAAAGATAGCGTTAAGGCTCTTAAAGGAGGAGGAGCTAAAAGGGCAATAGCTATAGTAGTAGTAGTAAGGGCTATAGTTATCGCGAAGCGTGGCCTGATTTCGTAGTTCTCGGAGATATCCCTTAGCACGAGGGACCAAGGAAGCTAAAAACACCTAGTATAGAAGAAGGAAGAAGGAGCTAAAAAGAGGTGCAGAAAGGAGGGTAGGGGTATAAGGGGAAGTAGAAGTAGCGATGGCTTCCTATAGAGGTAGCGAGAGATAAGACGGATGGGCCGGCAACGGCTAGAAAGGAGGGGAAAAACCGGCAAAAAGCTCGGTAGTCGAAAGGACATTAGTAGCTTCTTTAAGCAGGATGTTCTTTGTTAATCGAGATGCTAGACGGGTATAAAGAGGGGCGTTGGATAGAGGAAAGAAGGACAATTAAGGCAATATAACAATCACTCCCCTACCTTTATTACTGCTCCTATAAGAATCAAATCTCTCTGCCCTGCCTGTCCGACCCCTTACTTCTAATTTCACCTTCGTGCATTTTATATATATTTCTCGTATCTCTCTTCGCGAGAATAGTAGCTATAAGGGTAGTAGGTCGAGCCGTTTAGATTAAGTACTAGCTATAAAAGAATAAGACTACTTACTATTATACTTTAATAGCCTTTTATAAGGGAATATATATTATAGTATAATTAGTTAAGTAGTAAAGATAGCTAGAGGTACTATACTATATATATTATATTCTCCTCGTTATAAGACTAAAGCTTATAAGAAGAGGGATTTCTCCTCTTTAGTTAAAGTAGTAAGTAGTCTATAATATATGTAACGGGCTGAGCCCGTGAGGGTCTCGGCTCCGCTCTCGACAAGACCCACCGGAGCTCCGCTTATAAGCTCGTGCCATCTTCGAGAGCTTTCCTTTCTTTTCTTTTCTTCTTCTTTCTCCTTAGCTTTAGGATACTCGTCGCAGTCGCTCAGCTAGTTGTCAACACACTCAGTTGAGACCGTTACATTATCCTAAAGCTCCGCTTTCATCGTTAAAGCCTTTGATCACAATCAATTGGCAGCGCTGTTCAGTTCCCTTTGTGGGTACGCGGGTGGCAGTAGCTTGGGCAATCCTGTGTGGAACGCCCGCGACGAAAGTGCGTGTGTACGGCGCCAAAGCCAGCTTGGCTCGCGTCGCGTAGCTCTCATCTCCCGAGCAAAGGACGTGGAGCGTCAATCTGCTCTCCGTACGGCGTGCGGTTGAGCGAGAAGTACGTGATTGCTGCTTGGCTCCCAGTGTGGACGGCAGCAGCTGGACTAGAAGCCCTGTGCAGAACGTCCAGCCGTGTAGGAAGGAGCCTTCGAGGCGTTGATAGCGTTCGACCGTTGTCGAGATATCCTTCCGTATCAGACTTGCTGTGTGATCAAGTCGCCCTCAGTCCTGAGAGACGAGGAGAAAATCTTCAGTCATGGAGGCAATCGATTCCCAGCAAGGTTCTTTTGAGCCTCAATCGATGATGCAAGCCCTGGCTGCAGTGATGGACAAACTAGAAAGTGTGTGCAAGCCAAGAGGCCGAACGCGAAGAGATGCGATCGCAGATCCGAATCCTCCAAACAGCCGTCTCAACTCCGACTCCGGCAAATGAACCAGTCGCTCCTATCGAACCGATGTCCGACAACACGCCTCAATCGATCGAGACATCCGAAAGAATCCCATCAAAGAGGGTAAAACCAACCTTGCCTGATCCGCCGAAATTGATGGAACCAGGAAAACTTCCGTCCCTGGTTCTTAGAGATGAAAGCGAAATTGGCTGTGGACCGACAGGCATTCGACAATAAAGAAGCACTCTTCGCCTATGTGTACTCCCGGTTGGCGGGAACAGCCCAGAACATGGCCGCTGCTTATTACGAACAGGGCGGTATCGATGGTGCTCGCTCCCAGATCTGTTTCTCGACTACTTGAACCGTCGGTACGGGGACCCGAACGCAAAGGCACGAGCACTGGATCGACTTCGATCGTTGAAGCAGAAGCCTGATGAGAGTTTCGCCAGTTTCTTCCCAAAGTTCGAGAAAGAGCTTGCCGATAGTGGCGGTGGCGAGTGGGCCGACGTGGTGCAAATCAATTACTTGGAAGGAGCAATTAATAATAGGCTCAAGTCGAGTCTCGTCAGTGCCGTCAGTCTCCCGAAGGATTTCAACAGCTACGCCGAGCTACTCTTGACGATTGGCTCGCGCCTAGATAGCCTCAATTTCCACCAACGACAACAAGGCCGCGAGCAGAGGTCAAGAAAGGAGTATGGTCGTTTATCCGAACCGCTCGAGTCCCGACAAAAGCCCCCGTCACCCGGATCGCCAACCACGTCGTCCCCGTCCGATGATCAGATGGATTGGGAACCCGTGAAAGCAAATCGGTTGATAAACGGCAGGAGGGCCCCGGAGGAAAAGCAATTTGTTCCGTTGGAGGAGCGCAAATGTTACGAGTGCGGGAAGCTTGGCCATCTTGCGGCCAAGTGTCCCGGAAGGAGCGGCAGCAGAGAGTCAAGGTCCGTGTCGAAGAGAAGACAAGAAGCTCGAGAGCAAAGCACCAAGAGCCCGCGGAGAGTTCTAGCGGGGATACCTCCGATGACCATTCGGAAAACGAGTAGCTCCTGACGAAAATCGCCGTCAGGAGCGCGCAAAGGCTGAGGCGGAATGGGCAACTCAGAAGGACGAGATGGACTGTGAAGGCCTCTACGTAAATTTCGGTATCAATCGAGAGTATTTCACCACGGCCTTCGTTGACTGTGGTTGCCTGTGTTATGGGACCATCAGTGAGCGCCTTGCCCGCAAGCTTCACCTGCCGCGTATTCCGATTAAACCTCGAGCGTTGGAGCAGGTCAACACATTCTCACCCGAGGCCATCTGTGCCGTGACCTACTTCGACTTCGATATCGACGGGTACCAGAAGAAAAGAGCTTTTTTCTACGTTGTGCGAGACCAGACCGATCCTGTGATTCTGGGCAAGAAGTGGTTGAACCAGGAGGATGTCACCTTGCGATTATCGCAGAACCTCTTGCATATCGGGACGCACGACCATTGGGTGAAAGGCCGAGACCCGAAGGAGGAGGAACGGTGCAACATACGAGGACAGGCGGCGTTCGTGTTCGCCGGAATGGTTCGCCGAGCAAGAAAGTTCAAGCATCGAGACGATGGAGTGCGGATCTTCGCCGCAAGCCTGAAAGACATTGAGAAGGCATTGACTCGAGGAAGAAGTCAGACCCGAGAGAGAAGCTGCCCCGTCACTACCACGAGTACCTATCCGTCTTCGACCGCGACCAAGCGGACCAACTCCCACCGCGTCGTCCGGGGTGTGATCACAAGATTCAGTTAGAGAGAGGTCCTGATGACAAGGAGAAAGAACCGCCGTGGGACCATTGTACGGCATGTCACGAGAAGAGCTCATTGTTCTGCGAAAGACTCTCACTGAGCTACTCGACAAGGGTTTCATTCGAGCAAGTAGTTCTCCAGCGTCAGCACCAGTTTTGTTCGTGAGGAAGCCCGGTGGTGGTCTGCGCTTTGCGTGGACTATCGAGGATTGAATGCGATCACCAAGAAAGACCGATATCCCTTGCCGTTGATCGAGGAAACTTTGCGGTCGCTGTCCAAGGCCAAGTGGCTCACCAAACTTGACGTTATCGCAGCATTTCACAAGATTCGCGTCGAGGAGGGAGACGAGTGGAAGACAGCATTCAGAACACGTTACGGACTCTACGAATGGCTTGTCACGCCATTCGGGTTGACGGGTGCTCCCGCAACGTTTCAGCGTTACATAAACCACACGTTGCGAGATTTCCTCGACGAGTTCTGTTCCGCTTACATTGACGACATCTTGATCTACTCGAGCGGTTCGCTCGCAGATCATCGCAACAAAGTCAGGCAGGTCCTTGCTCGACTGCGAGATGCAGGCCTGCAGATTGATATCGACAAGTGTGACTTTGAGGCAAAGAGTGTCAAGTACCTGGGCTTCATCGTCGAAGCCGGAAAGGTATCCGCGTGGACCCGGAGAAGGTGCAGGCAATTCAGCAGTGGCAGCGACCCCGTTCTGTCAAAGGCGTCAGAAGCTTTCTGGGGTTTGCCAACTATTACCGGCAATTCATTCCCAGATTCTCCAACATCGCCGCGCCTCTAACGGCGTTAACAAAGAAGGATGCGGTGTTTGCGTGGTCGAAGGAGTGCGACAAGGCCTTCGAGGAGTTGAAGGCTCTTCTGACCAGTGCGCCGGTCCTTGCGCAATGGGATCCGGATAGAGAGACGATTGTGGAGACGGATTCATCCGGTTATGTCACAGGAGGGGCGCTCGCAAAGGGCGATGACGGCATCATGCGGCCTGTGGCCTTCTTCTCAAAGAAAACGCACCGGCGGAGTGCAACTACCCAATCCACGATAAAGAGCTGCTGGCGATCATTCGCTGCCTTGAGCATTGGGACGCCGAATTGAGGAGTGTGAAGTCCTTTACCGTTTTGACGGATCATCTCAACCTCCGTTACTTCACCAAGAAGCAGCAACTGAGTGAACGTCAGGCGCGATGGGCTGAGACGCTATCGCGGTACAGCTTCACCATCAAGCATCGACCGGGCAAAGAAGCCGTCGTACCGGACACGCTGTCTCGACGAGAACAGGACATGCCGCACAGCGCCGAAGATGATCGGTTGCAAGGACGACGTGTTCAGCTGCTGCAACGTAACAAGGGTGGCCTGGTGACAAAAGTCAAGAGCGGTTATGTCACCAAGGGCGACACGGATCAACCCGATGACGCAACAACTGACCAAGACGACTCAATCGAAAACCCTTTCTCGGACCCGGAACTGCAGAAGTTATGGGACGAAGGTGTCAAGAAGCACAATCGTTATTGGCTCATCCGAAAGGCCGTACAGCAAGGCGAGAGGCGTCTGCCGTCGCATTGGGGACTGCCCGTGATGCTCTCGGAATGCTCGATTGACGATGGACAGCGGCTCTGCTGGCGAGAGCGAATTTGGGTGCCGAACCACGAACCCCTGCGCACGCGGCTTATGCAGGAGACGCATGACTCAACGCTTGCAGGACACCCCGGACGGGACATGCTGAAGTCCTTGTTGAGCCGCAAGTTTTATTGGCCAGGCCTCGATTCAGACGTGCGTCAATTTGTGAGAAATTGTGATGTGTGTGGCCGAAGCAACATTTGGCGAGAGAAGCGTCGCGGTTTATTGAAGCCGCTACCTATTCCAGACAGGATCTGGTCGGAGCTGTCAATTGACTTTGTGACAGACCTGCCACCAACCAAGTCGAACGGTTCGACCAACCTTATGGTCGTGACGGACAGACTGTCCAAAAGTGTCGTTCTTGAGTCATTGAAGGACATCACGGCCGAGACGACGGCCAGAGCATTGCTACGGAACGTGGTGCAACACCATGGCGTGCCGCGCGCGATCGTCACTGACCGTGGCACGCAATTCACCAGTAGACTATGGCAGAGGCTCTGCGAGCTGCTACGCGTGAAGCAAAGATTGTCTACGGCGTGGCATCCCGAGACTGACGGTGCAACAGAAAGGGCGAATCAGGAAGTCGAGAGATATCTGAGGATCTTTGCTGCTTATGCTCAGGATAACTGGGAAGAGCTGTTGCCAGCGGCCATGATGGCCATCAACAATCACAACTCGACGTCGACAGGCCTGAGCCCGTTCTTTATCACGCATGGGTATCATGTTGACCCGATACAAGTCAAGGAGAAGTTACGGACGGACGGAAGGTCCCCAGTGACCAGGGCTGAAAGCATTGTGCAACGATTTCGAGAGGCAACGGAATGGGCCCAGGCGGCAATTGCGTCAGCGCAAGAGCAGCAAGAGAAGAACGCCAATTCGCGAAGACAGCCGTCAGACCAGTTCAAGCCTGAGACAAGGTATGGCTGCGACTTCGCAACATCCGATCCAATCGGCCATCCAAGAAGCTCGATTGGCTGTCGGCCAAGTACACCGTCCTGGAGACCATTGGGTCACACGCGTGCAGGCTGGACACGCCTCCGGAATACACAACGTGTTCCACGTGTCGCTCTTACGCTTAGCAGCGGACGATCCGCTACCGTCACAGACGTCGGATGACTACCGCCCACCGGCCATTTTGACGGACGATGGCGAGCTGTGGGAAGTGGAAGAGATTCTGGACAGGAAGAAAGTCGGAGAGAGTGGAAAGTGTTGGTGAAATGGGTCGGATGGATAGGTCCGACGTGGAGCCAGTCAAGTACGTCGCAGACACAATAGCACTGGCTAGGTATGAAGAAGTTCATGGGAAAGTTGGATCGAAACCACCCCAATCGAAACGATCGAAACGGGGAGGGAAGGAGGGGTTATTGTAACGGGCTGAGCCCGTGAGGGTCTCGGCTCCGCTCTCGACAAGACCCACCGGAGCTCCGCTTATAAGCTCGTGCCATCTTCGAGAGCTTTCCTTTCTTTTCTTTTCTTCTTCTTTTCTCCTTAGCTTTAGGATACTCGTCGCAGTCGCTCAGCTAGTTGTCAACACACTCAGTTGAGACCGTTACATATATAAGCGGGGTAGGTATAATTCCCTACTAATACCCTACTAATATATTAGTACTATATACCTAAGTACTTTATTAGCCTATACCTCTTAGTAGCGCTCTTATAATTATCTCCCCTCTTATATAGATATCTTAGCTATATCTTTAATATATATTACTTCTACTATACTATATATATTCGGTTAAAAAGAGAGGTAGTTTCGGTTATATATTATATATATATACCTATATAAGTATATATTAGTCTACGCTCTATAATATTAATAGTTATAGTACTAATAGTTACCGCTAAGTAACCGTTATAGTATCGCTTATATATTAGTTATATAACTATAATATAAAGAGTATATATATATATCTCTTACTTCTTTTATTTTCTTTTCTTTTTTAACTCTCTTACTTACGATTACTATAAAGTTTTATACCTTTTTTTATTAATCCCTTATACCTTTTTATATTACTTTTTATTAATAATTTATTAACGATAATACTTTTTACGCTAAAGAAAATAAAGAGCTATAACGCCGAATTCCTATACTATATATAAGAGTAAGTAGCGGCGGGTTCGCCCTTAAAGTATAAGCGATTAGCCTAGAGGTCTTATAGTAACGCTAGTTCCCCCTTAGCGAAGAAAGCTAAGAAAGGTATAAGGGAATCCTAGTCCTAGGAGACTTTTAGTCTAAGACCTAATATTAGTAAGGGTCGTGCCCTTATTACCCTACTAAATACCTTAACTCTAACTACTAATAAGCTTACCTTTATTAGCTAGGAAACTTATAAGTCTATTACCCTTATTAGCGATATTAATACTAGTAAGGAGATCGTGCCTAAGCGCTCTTATATAAGTACTAATAACCTAGCTACTCTATCTTAATAGGGCGGCTCTAGCTAATAAGAGATTATCGCTTAAGCCGCTCCTTAGAACGAGTAGGCTAATATTAACGATAAGGCCTAGCTAAATAAAGGCTAAGATAACGATAACGGTAATAATAAAGACGGCCGCGATCTAACTCCTCCTACTAATAAACCTAAGAACGGCGGCGCTAGGAACGAGGGCACCTAGGCGGCGGTATAAGGCGGTCGCGCTCTTATAAAGAAGCGTACCTAATCTAAGGCTAAAGTCCGCTTAGTTAGGGCCTAGGAGGTTATCCCTTATAAGCTTTAGTATATATATTATTTTAGGACGGTCGTTAAGGAGTATAGTATAACTAAGCTTAAGCCTATTAAGGTACTCTCGATTAGCTATATTTTCTTAGGGGTTTCCTTAACGCGCTATAAGTAGTACTATAAATATACCGCGACCTATAATTAAGTAAGTTTCCTATTAACTTAAATATTATAATTAATAAGCTAATTTTTCTTAAGGCCGCTACTCTTATATTTAGCGACTAAGCTAATATAGTCGCTATCGTTAAGTACCTACGCGAGCTTAATAAGCTAAAGACCGGTAATAAGGATACTAAGGATAATAGCTTAAATATAGGCATGCTTATTTTTAAGGAGGGTAATCGGCGCCGTCTTACTATTATAGTATAGTATTTAGCTAAGGCTTTCGACGCCGCTAAGACGGCCTATTATAAGTCCTTTAGGACTATAGGTATATAGAAGTCTATTATCGTAAGTTTTATCCGACCCTTTTATTAGCGACCGCTTAATAATACGCTAGGTCGAGCATGCCGACTACTATACGCTAATTAATAAGCGCCGTAAGCTTATTATTTACCTTAACCCCGCGCCCTTATTTAATATCGCCTATATAAGCCCGGAGTACTAAGCCTAGGAATCCTAGGTAAAACTCTACTTTATCGATAGTAATATAGGCTATACTTCTTAGTAGCACGCCTTACTATTTACTAAGGCTAAGGTAAGTGCTATACTAATAGAGATAGGTCTTAACGTAGAAGATAAGGAAGGAGCGGAGGATAGGGTAGTTTTAGTATTTTTAAAGGTATTTAGTATAGTAAAGGAGGCGCCTTAGTTAGTTCCTACTACGCCGGCGAAGAAGAGGGGTAATCGGAAGTAATAGATAGGTCTTATCTTTCTTTTATTTAGTTATAACTATCCTTTTCTCCTTTATTATTAAGGTTTTAATAGAGTTATAGTTTAGTTTTATTTTCCTTAATAATATTTAATAGGTAGTATAAATAGTTTTCCCTTATTTTCTTATTTTACTATTTTATATATAGTTATAGGACGTTTAGGCGTGCTAATATATTAATAAGTTAGTAGCGATTTAATAGGGATTTATTACTAATTTAGTAGCGCCTCTTTATACTAATAAGTTTCCTTACCTTACTTAGTCTTATACTTTTTTTTCCTAATTAAGCGAGTAGTATATTCTTTAATAAGGTCTTAGCTATTCGCTATATCTTTAGTATTAACCTATTAGTTATACTTAGCTAGCTATCCTTTCTATTTAATAAGGAAAAAGGTATTATTCTTAGATCTCTTTTAGTCTTTAATCTCTTAGACTTCTTATTCGCTTTCGTCGTCCTTTAAGTCTAGTATTAATAAGGTTTCGCTATCTCTTTAAGTTCCTTTATACCCCTTTTATAGCTCTAAGAGACTAATATAGAAAACGTTATAAAGATATAAGTACTTCTTAGGGAGTATAAGATAATATACTTACTTTCTAATAGCTTATAAGACCTAAAATAGTCTAATATACTTAGGTAAGAGTTTTCTTTTTTTATCCTTAAGGCGTAAGTTCTTTATCGATAGTACTATAAGGTCTCTTACTTTTAGTATAAGCGGTTAGTGCCTTAAATCGTAGTATTTTACTTACGATTTAATAGCTTTTTCCTAGTATTCCTTAAGCCTCTTTTATAGCTCTTATAGCCTAGTAACTCTTACTCTTACTTTAGATACCCCCCTCTAAATAATATCGTCCTTAATATTAATATAGAAGTTTAGTTAGTAACCTATTAATACTTTATTAAGTAATAACTTAGTTATTGCGTTCTTTATATTATTATATATAAATTAAGTAATATATAGGAGTAACGCTTAGTTAGTTTATTCTAAGTTAGTAAAGTATCTTAAGTAGTACTATATAGCTTAGTTTATTTATTTTATTTACCTATTAGTTTATAAGTAAAATACTATTAATAGCTTATATTTTACTTATAAGATAAAATAAAGATCTAACTAAAACCCACTTATAAATAAGGACCCTCTATCTAAGATAATACCTTTCGAAGGTCTATATATTAATTTAACTTAGTAATAAAATAATTCTACTAGCTCCGGAGCTATTATTATCTTAGAGATAGGAAAGAAGAGGTAATACTTAGTATATTAGTCTACGATTACTAAGATCGTATTAATATCTTATTTATTATACTATACTTTAGGTAGACCTATAGTAAAGTCTATTAATAATTCTTCTTATAGTTATATAGGATATAGTAATAATTATATAGTACTATAAGGGCGATGCCTCTTAGATACTATACCTTAATTTACTAGGTATAACTAAACATATTTATTTATATCTTTTATTATTCTATCCTAGTAAAAGTTCCTTATTAGTAGTTCGCTAATATATTAAGAGCTAAAGTATCTTATTAATAGATCGTTATAAAAGAGCTATATTAGCTCTTACTATAAGGCTACCTTTAGAGGTACTATAATACGACCTTTCTATAGTAGTAGTCTATCTAAGCGTACTTATTAAAAACCCTTTCTTTTTAAGAAGTCTTTAGTCTCTTTTAGCTTACTTATCGCTACGTTAACCGACTAAGTACGTTTTAGTAACTCTAGTAGCGGTTTTAAAACTTCTACTATATAAACCTTTATATAGTAGGCTGCTTTTTTAGCGGTCTTTCTTAAGAGTAACTATTTATAACTAGCTCTCTCTTTAGCTTAATTAGCTAATCGTTTAGGTCTTAAGCCTAAAATATTATAGTTTTACTATAGATAAGCTTATATATTTTCCTTATATAAAAGCACTTTACTATACTTATATTAACTTAAGGTTAAGTATCTCTTTACCTATAAAAATACCTTATTATTTCTCTATATAGATATAGTATTAATAGTAGCTAGCTTCGCTTATAGCTCTAGTAATAATTCTATAAATAAGGGCTTCTTACTTTTATATCTAGGTATTCTTAATAGCGCGTTTACTAGGTTTAATTTACCTATATAATACTTAATTATAAAGTTAAATAGTACTAAATATATATATTATCTTACTTACCTCCTATTTAAGGAGGTCTAGTATATAAACGTCTAAAGGTTATAGTAGTCTAATAATACCTTTACTTTATACGCTACCCCTTCGATATAATATTACTAGTATTTAAATAACTTAATAATAGCGAATAGTTCTTAGTCTAGAACTCTATAATTAAGTTTAGCTCTAGTAAACTTCCTTAACTAAAATACGATCGGATAGTAGTACCTTTCGTTATTAGGTTAAGAGATAATCCTTACTATCGCGAATTATAATATATCTATTTTAATATAAATACGTCTTTCTAGATTATAATATTAAAGGAGTATAGCTCCTTAAAAAGTATCCT